CTGTTTCCTTATTGGCCAATTTTCTGTGACGTATAGCAGAACTGGCCGAACTGGTGCAGGATATGCTCGACCCTTACCAGACAGCTGACATTATTATTTGAACGCTGAGTGGTATACCATGGGCAGTGTAAACAGAAGATATTTCGTACGATTCGGAACTGCTGAAGAACTGGACAGAAGAGAGAGGGTTTTCGGGATGGGTACCCGGGACTATAAGACAAGACATAATTCACGGCAGGCTAAACTGACGAAGGAGTTTTTCTTTGTTAACTCTAGCCGGAGCCTTCGAATAGAAAGTCTGACCCTCGAGGTGGTGGAGCGTAGATCCAACGCGGGAGCATGACCGAAGCGGCAGTGTGAAAGCTTCTAGATACCTGTCACACAAGGTGTTTGGGTTTCGGTCCAGTGTGTTGTTCTCTGGTGCGTTGATTGTCGATCCGCTGTTCGGGATTGGTCCTTAGTCTCATGCACCCAATGAGACAAGCGGAACGTGGACGGGACAGCACCTTGTTGGCGGGGGGCTGCCCAGCTTGGGTGGGCAGTAGCAGTNCCCAGCTTGGGTGGGCAGTAGCAGTTTAATGAAGTGCGAAGACTTCTCTCAACGTTGGGAGGAAGCCTCAGTTACCCAGCTCCTAGGTCCAACTAGCGGGATCTTTTGACTGATAGACTGGCCCTCCCCATGTTTATTTGCTGGAATGATCTCTCCGGGGGCGGGATTGGATAGTTAAGGGGAGCTAGGAGGCGTCCAAACATCTGGCTTTTTGAGACTGAGCTTTGTCTGGCTTCTGTCCATTAACTTTTCAGGCATGATTGGATCTGCGGCTGAGTGGCCATCCCGTGTGGCTCGCAGGGTAATGGAGGCAAGCATGCCATCAAAACATCGGATGTGAGAGATCAATAAACAAATGAAGCAATTAACTTATAAATTTGAATTTGAGACATTGTTTCCAGGAAAAATATAGAGAGAGAGAGAGATTGTGGAACGGCGAGGGAAAGAATAGGTGATTGTGAACAAACTCACTTGGTAAAGAATAGATCGAGGAGACGCATATGTGACATCCGTGTCGACTGCTTCAAATG